TAGCAGGTGACAGTGTGGGCCAGGTGGGATTTCCGGTTGTCTCGCTCCATCATGCTGACTGCCCAGTCACGGAGGTTGACTGGCGTTCTCTTGGCAGCCTGCACAAATGGATCACGATCCTGAGTGTTTGGTCAAACGCTGTCTCTTCTTGTGGCACGGGAACCCGGTAGACAAAGCAATTGGGCAGGTACTTACAAACAATTCCTGAGGCGTGGACCGCTCCTCGGGGACTTTAGAGAGACACCTTTGAATCATATCCTCGAGGATAGAAGGGAATGCGTCACTCTTCGGCAGCTTCGGTGCGGGCTCGTGGACGATTTGCTGCAACAGGTCAAGAATACCAGCAGGGGCACCATCCCCATCCGATAGCTGCTCGCTTGCGGCGAACGGAAACTTTCCAATGGCAAGCTCCATGATGGTAAGGCCGAAACTCCAGACATCTGACTTGACTGTATACTTTTCGCCTTGGATACGCTCAGGGGCCATATAAGTCGATGTGCCAACAAAAGTGTCTGCGACAGAGTTGACAAGTTCGCCAGAAACACCAAAGTCACACAACTTGATACTGCCCCTAGAGTTGACCAGAATATTCGAGGGTTTGATGTCGCGGTGCATGATGTGATGCTTTGAGTAGAGGTACGTCAAGCCACCTAATGTAGCTTCAGCGATCTTGCCGAGCACATCGACTCGAATGGGACCAAAGACCCGCGACACCCGGTCCAAAGAACTAAGCCAATGTGTCAGAACGTACGCCTAAATTTCCAGGAACGGAGAAAAACTTACCCAACGTCCATGTATTCCATACACATGATGACATCGTTGTTGTCGTTGAGGAATGCGCCGTAAAAGTTGACAATGTTTGCCGAGTGGCATCCGTGCATAATCTGTAGCTCTCTTACTATACGTTTACGCATCTCCTTCTTCGCTTCTACGTGGATGACCTGTGCACCGTTAGCGTGATGCCCAACATCAACATGAGTATGCACAAAGCATCACCTTTCTGGCCATGACAGTTCCGGTAAGAACATGCCTAACCTTGCTGACCGTACCACCGTTGCCGGATCCCAGTTCTTTCAGGACCTCCAGGTCTTCTTGTTTCAGGTCCAGCTTGTACTCAATGCCAATCTCGAGTTGTGCGCTCTGGTCGTTGCCGTCCTGATCACGGGAATCGTAGTCATGCCTGCTAGTTTCGGCGGTTGGGGGCGGTTTGGGAGAGGCAGGCGTCAGGGCGAGGCCCTTGACATTCTTGCGCTTCATCGAGCGCGGAGCGAAAGGATCGGGCATGTTGGGCGATGTGCGTGGCCGACCGGCGTTCGGAGGCGTCGAAGATTGGGTAGCAATGGGCTTAAAGAAGCCGCAAGTCGGAGCCGGACAGATTTTCTAGCGAAGTGACTCTCTGCTGTCCGTAGATTGTCTTTCAAAGCAGAGATGAGGCGACAGCCTGCACTGAAGATGAATCGGTAGTTGCAAGTCGTCAGGTGTCGGCAGCCGATGGCATAGAGGGGGAGCGGATGAGCTGAGGCGCGGGGCAGTGTTGCAATGCAGCACAGGATGGGCGGCGGATCTCGACTTGACGTTCAAAGTCGAGGTGAAATAAAGGAGACCTCGCGAGGCGTACGAGGCACAGGTTGCCAGAAAAGTGCGCGGCGTACCTGATGTTACGCTTTGGCGAGGTGTGGTGAGGAGGATGGAGCACTTAATCAGTGTCGTTCCCCTGGTCCCTTTCCGGTCGAGGTGGGGGTTTTATCGGATACGACAAGTCGATAGTGCCGGAGCAGCAGCACCAAAGACCAGGGCGCTTAGGCGGTTAGGCAGGCGTGCCGTTCAGGGGATGACAGAATGACAGAATGACAGGCACGCGGGAAGTTGGTATCACAAGGTTACCCGCAGCGAGGTATAGGCCCGAGATGTACGCAACAACCGTGTGTCTTGGGAGACGTGTCAAGCTCAGCAGAAGCACAAGTCGCGAATCGGAAATGTGGCGTGTCAGCAGAGAGGCGACGGGGATCCTGACACTTGCGGTGGAGCGACAAATGGGAGAAGGAGGGGATGCGGCCGGAGAGGGGTTTCGGATAGGAAGTTCGCTGAAGGAACGAAAGACGCGAGCAGCTAGGGGGGCCCCATAGACGCCTGGAGCGCCCCGAGCACCCATGGACCCATCTGGAGTGTCATGATCTGCCCTACGAGATGGGGACCTGTAAATTAACTAGGCCGCTTCCTTGCAGATTTGCTCACATTTCCATTGCTTCACCTCGAAGGAGAATGAGCCCGTACCTTGCACCGCTTCGTAACCCGTGGCCTTCCGACCTTCGTACCCGACCAGGAGGTGGAGGGCCTGGCTCATTAGAGCAGCTTCCCATCCTGCGTCACAAATCATATGTCACACACCCGTCGTCCCCAACAGCCAACGATGTCAAAGCATCCAACTTTCTTCACGACATGGGCTCTGCCGTGGCCAAAACGGGCTTGTGTCTCAAGTGACAGGACCCAAGCTTATTGGTCGTTCTGATGCAATGCCCTACAAATCTCTCCGACTGCCATATTGCCTGGACTAAGTGCCTGTCCAACAGCAGCGAGGAGCAAGCCGTGACGAGGAGTGCATATGAGTGAGTAAACGCAGCCAATCCTTGTCAGTGGTTCAATCTTCGTCATCACGCGAAACCATCGTCTCGCTGCGCTTCGGCCCGTGATGCGCCTGATGTCAACGTGATGATAATGGCAGTTTAGTCGCTGGCTCAGCGCGAAACGAGCCTCTTGTCAGCCACAACCAGTACTTGGTTTTGCCCAACCCGTGTCGTCGGGAGGATCTCACATTGCAGTTGGCCACAGGGTACTTGCGAATAGGAGTGGGCTTCACGAGGATGCACTCACGTCGCCGTGGCAGCCGGGTTGCCCAAGGTTCAGGTCCCAGGTCACTTGACCAGTCATTGACACTCTATCGCTGATTCCCTGCAGCTGCGACGTGAATATTGACCCGGGACATCATTCCTGTTGCTCCAAAAAAAAGCCTAAGTACTCCCACCCCTGTCAAACTTGTCCATAAACGCATGGGACTGTTGGATGTCCTAAGTTGCGGATGCAAATCAAGTACCTGTGCTTCCAACATCGACCAGAAAACCCGGCACCCCAAACCAAGCATCCTCCTACGGCGAGTGCAGACGTAATTTTGACAAGACTATGGTTAGAGGTACTGAGTCCATCTGCATTACGAAGAACATGACACATTTTGGGATAATACTAAGTGTTGGAGTATTGCCAATGTTTCTGTGCTCGACGCCTACCTACCTACCTTGCCCATGGGGGTGGCAAAACAAGTCATACGCCCAGAAGGTGGGCTCATTTTGAACCGTTATACTATATCTTTTGTCGGTTCAAAACTACCAAAAGTAGGACAGTAATTGGGTATTCTGTCAATTATTTATGAGATCGTTTTTCGGAGCATCTAATTGAGATCTGAGGTGTTGAGAATATGCTGAAGCTTAAGCGACCTGTCTGGATGATACATACACGTGCTAGGCGGATGAATGTAGAGTGCGACTTAATCGGTCATGCTTTTGGACGCTTAGGTAAGTAGGTTGCGAGGAAAGGGCGGCTTATGTCATCTAGAGTACAGCACCTTTATGCATCATAGCTCTTGAAAGGAAATCGTTATAAAGGAGCGCAATTTTCGCCCAATTGAATCTTACTACGCCAGTACAAGCACCAGCAGCATGACAAGCTGAGGCTCGAGCCTTCCCTGAAAAGTTGGGTTCACGAACATACACGTTCCTTTCACGCGTCAAAGTGTTAAGGCACTGCCTCACCACGTCCCCCCACGACAGCCCGGAATCTACGATAAAATCGGCGATTCATCAATCAACACGGCATTTGTTCTTTTGCACGAGAACCTAACGGACGAGAACGGTAGCCATACAGTACGAGCAGCGACCACACTTGCACGATCAGCTTCTTGCCCTTTGAGAGGATAGCTCGACAGCGCTCGGCGCACAACCTGTGGCCCAACATGAGCAACTCCATGCGAGACCTGATCAGTGGCGAAGCCGAGCTAGACGATGATGAAGAAGACGACTCGTACGGAGAGGAGAATGGCGAGCGCCGCACCTCGAAGGCACGAACAAACGCACTGGAGGACTCGTCGGAAGAAGAAGACGATGACGACGATGAAGAAGAAGCTGCCAAGGTAAACCGAACTGAGTGGTTCTGCCATGCAGTGGGCGACACTAATCTTCGCATAGATTCGCGAGGGCTTCATCGTTGACGAAGATGAAGATGAAGAAGATGAAGGTGACGATTCAGATGCCCGTGAGCGCGTTGTAAAACGTAAAAGGGAACATCGCGATCGGGAAGAGGAAGCGCAACTTGACGACGAAGACTTGGAACTGATAGGAGAACAAGTCGAGCGCAAGAAGCCGTCCGAGGTATGTATACACGCATCCTGCAGTCATTGGTTGCACTATAGAGCTGACCTCGACAAAAGCCCAAGTTCAAACGTCTCAAGAGAGGTCATCGAGATGATAGCGAACGTCCTCCCGAGCGTCGCGGGCTCGAGGATATGTTTTCCGATGACGAAGAGGACAGCAACGAACGACCATACGGGCGGCCGAGCTTCCGAGCACAAGCAGACGAATTCGACGACTTCATCGAAGAGGACTTCCCTGAGGACGAGGAGGCACGCATGCAGCGACTGGAAGATGCAGAAGTTGCCCGTCCCCGCGATAAGGGTGTTTCTGGCGTGGTCGACACCACCGGTCTCGACAAGGATGCCCTGGAAGACTTTGAGGCCATCTTTGGCAATGGTGAAGACTACGACTGGGCACTGCAGATGGAAGAGGAAGAGGGCGAGAGGGAGCGTGAGGAGCAAGTGATTGAGCTGAAGGACGTTTTCGAGCCCTCGCAACTTACCGAGAAGTTGCTTACGGATGAAGACAACGAAATCCGAACTCTCGACGAGCCCGAGAGGTTTCAACTCGACAGAAAGCCCTTCAAGCACCTGCAGCTCACTGCCGAGCAATTTAAAGAGGAGGCACGTTGGATCGCGAACCTTCTGTGGCCGAAGAAGATGCTCCAGGGAGATCTACTCGGGCCCTTCACCAAGGCGATTGGCAAGGTTCTTGAGTTCTTTGTGGTTGACGGCGTCGAAGTGCCGTATGTCTTCCAACACCGCAAGGACTACCTCATCCATACGAAGAAGACGCGCAACCCCGCGCATCGGGACGATCCCGATGCCCCGGAGTTCATCATCACCGCCGATAAACTACTGACCCAAGACGACTTGTGGCGCATCTTGGAGCTCGACATTAAGTTCCGATCGTTGATGGAGAAGCGGAATGCTTTAGAAAAGACGCTTGATAACCTCAAAACTGAAATGGGCGTCAATGACGACATCCTTGAGGACATGATCACGCAAGCTGCGAATATGGAAGAGCTCCAAGACCTACAAGACTATCTCAACTTCCAGTATGCCGCGCAGCTGAAAGACCTTGCTTCTATGAATGGAAGTGCCAAACAGACCAAGCGGCCCGGCTCCAAAGGCGCACTGTTCGACAAGGTACGAAGGAGTAGGGTTTACGACTTTGTTCGTGCATATGGTATCACGCCAGACCGACTTGCGCGGAACGCACTCAGGGAAGGGCCCAAGGTCTGGGCCGATGACGACAACGAGTTGCCTGATAACCTGGCCGATCAATATATCGACGAGGACTTCCCCACGGGTGACAGCGTATTGCAAGCCGCCCGTCAGATGTACGCTGAGGAGCTCTTTGTGAGCCCTCGTATGCGCAAACATTTCCGAGCCAACTTCTACGAAATGGGTGACATCAGCTGTCGTCGCACTGAAAAGGGCTTGCGGAAGATTGACGAATCTCATCCATTTTACGAGATCAAGTACCTTACTCACCAAAGCTTTGGTGATATGGCCCGCCAACCACACTTATTTCTCAAGATGATGAAGGCTGAAGAAGACGGGTTGATTGAGGTCAAGGTCAGTATGGAGAACGACGAAGGATTCAAGCGCAACCTCCGACAGGAGTTTGTGTCCGACAACTATAGCGAGCGCGCAGACAGGTGGAATGACGAGAGGACCAAGGTTCTTGAGCTTGCGGTTCCCCGTCTCCTTAAGCACGTTGCCAAGGGTGTAAAGGAGTCGGTGCGCACAGCCTGCCAGGACGAAGTGCTCACCACATGCCGCGAGGAATACTCAAAGAAGATCGATCAATCACCTTACAAGCCGAAGGGAATGGTTTTGGGTACTACGCCGCGCGTTCTGACATTCTCAAACGGCATGGCTGACCCTGGCCGTGACGCGACATGTTGGGCCTGGATGGACGAAGAGGGCCGCTTCGGAGACCATGGCAGGTTCGATAACTTGACACGGAATGATGCCGCTCGCGAAGAGTTCGTGGAGCTTGTCAAACTGCGGCGTCCAGATGTCATTGGTGTCAGTGGTTGGTCGGCAGACACCCATAAGCTTGTTCGCGAGCTCGAGAACATCATCAGCGACAAGGGTTTGATGGGTCCTGAGTTTGACGACCCTGAGACCGATGAATATCGTGCCGAGCTGCTTGAGGTCATTGTAGTGAATGACGAGGTCGCTCGACTATATAAAGACAGCCCGCGTGCTGTCGCCGACCACCCATTACTTGCCCCTCTCACACGGTACTGCATCGGACTGGCAAGGTACATGCAGAACCCTCTGAAAGAGTATGCCGCTCTTGGCAAGGATATAACCTCCCTCGCCTTCCACCCCTGTCAGCAGCTGCTACCTCAGGACAAGCTGCTGAAGAACTTGGAGTTTGCCATGGTTGACATGGTTAATCTGTGCGGTGTCGATATTAACGAGGCTGTCGGAGATTCTTACACGGCCAACCTGCTTCCCTACGTTGCTGGTCTTGGTCCCCGTAAGGCAACGAGTGTGCTGAAAGCCATCAGCGCCAACGGTGGCTACGTCGCTAGTCGAGCCGAGCTCGTTGGAGACATCGACAGTGGTAAAATTCCTGTGGTCGGACCCCGAGTATGGAACAACTGCGCCAGTTTCCTCTTCATCCACTTCGAATCAACAAACCCAACTTCTGATCCCCTCGACAACACACGTGTGCATCCGGAAGACTATGAGCTTGGCCGCAAGATGGCAGCTGATGCCCTTGAACTCGACGAAGAGGATGTCAAGGGTGAGACAGATCAAAATGGACCCGGAGCCATCGTGCGCAAGCTCTTTAAAGATGACGCCCAGGAGAAGGTTAACGAACTCATTCTGGAGGAGTACGCCCAGCAACTGGAGGACAAGTACAGCCAGAAGAAGCGTGCGACTCTGGAGACTATTCGTGCGGAGCTCCAGGCACCATACGAGGAGCTGCGTCGTAACTTTGTCACGCTCGCTGATAGCGAGATCTTCACTATGCTTACGGGCGAGAGCAAAGAGTCTCTCGCAGTGGGCATGATCATCCCCGTGAATGTCAGGGTTGTGAAAGACGAATTCGCTATTGTCAAGCTTGACTGCGGAATCGAGGGCAGGGTCGAGCCCAACGAACACGACAGGAATACCGGCATGGGCATCAAGGGCGTCATTTCGGTCGGACAGACAGTACAAGCGAAGCTTGTGTCGGTTGAGTACAAGAACTTTCTGGCTAAGCTCTCTATTGACGAGAGGGACATAAAAAACGGCTATCGGAAACACATGTATCATCCCCACGGTACATGGGATGAGCGACTGGAGGCCGATGACAAGGAGGAACTCCGTGAAAAAGACAAGAGCACTGGGCGAACCCAAAGGGTCATCAACCATATGCTGTTCAAGCCTTTCAATGGCATGGAGGCGGAGCAGTGGCTCGGCACCCAACCCAACGGCGAGAAGGTTATTCGCCCCTCGTCTAAGGGTAACGACCACCTTGCTATTACGTGGAAGGTTGCCGACGGCGTATTCCAGCACGTGGACGTCCTCGAGCTGCAGAAGCCCAACGATTTCTCCCTCGGCCAGCTGCTTCGTGTTGGCAAGATGACGTACAAAGATCTTGACGAGCTGATTCACGGCTACATCGAAGGCATGGTCAAGAAGGTTGACGAGATGATGCAACACGACAAGTTCGACAAGCGCTCAAGGGCAGACGTTGGTAAGTACTGCAAGGCCCCAATAACTACGCGTGGTTACCCACTCGTCTACTACATCGTGACTAATCCCCGCGCAGAAAAGTGGCTCACCACTTATATCGACGCCAACCCTACGCGCTCTGCTTATGCCTTCTGCATCAACCCTAAGCATCCAGGATACTTCTGGCTTTGCTTCAAGGCGAACAAATCTTCGCGGGTGAATGCCATGCCGGTCAAGGTCCACCACGAGGGATACGAACTCCTGAAGAACCAGTATCCGGACATGAGAGGTCTCTGCAACGGTTTCAAGATTCTGTACTCCAACGAGATGCAGAGGCTCCAGAAACAGCAGCAGCGGTAGAGCGGCTCTGCTACCATCGCGAATAGCGATCATGCTCACGTTGACGCTATCTTGCCTGATCTGCCGCCCAAGCAGCCAACAAGAGCGGCGCTCAAGTCGCAGAAGGAGGAGTTTATAGAGGAAAGATGGAAGCCATGAGTTAGGTAGGGGACTGCATGGGACGCGGGTGACTAGAAGCTCGCCCTGTTCACTCAGTCGCCGAGATGATTCAGCCGGTTGGGGTAAGGGGCTTTGTTTGAGACATTGTTGTAACACTACGCACGAAAAGCAAGATGAACTGCTTTAGCTCGGCCTACCTGGTTGGCTGATACACATAAATCGATGAACTGCTCACTGAACTCGCTGCCCGCGTAAGAAGCCTATCTATAGATTTCGCAGTTTGGGAAGTCATTGACTTCACTAAAGCATATGGGACATGTCTTCGTCTTCGTAGTGAGGGACAATGAGACGCCAACCCGCCCGATTTTCTACTGAGGACAGTTTCTAAGCAATAGGACCTGGACTCAACACACTTCGTGCCGAATCAAATACTGGTTCGAAGCAGCATCGTCAAAAAGGGTATTATGTTCTTTAATGACTCAGGATAATATGGCTGCCGTTCTCTGCTGTAGTCTCATGCCCAAGCCTCCTAGTACTTGACTTGCAGAGAATACCTGTTGTGACCCAGGCCTGAGCTGTGAAAGCATTGATTTCAACGGGCCAACAAAGCCTGCGCCATGCCTGCTTGGTATTGTCGATCTTCCGCAGCTAACATCTTCCAGGTCTTCTCAGGTAAATTACATGCCACAAAATGCGGTTCGTTGCATGTATAGAGCAAGTTTCCTGTTGTCTCTGTCGCTACGAGTACCAGTCTGTTCTAGGTGGTTGGGTTTGAACCTCTGTTGGCAAGTAGGCGCTTGTACGCGTAGATGGCTGGCTTTAAGATGACCAACGGGCCTGATCTAGGTCGTAGTCAGCCTAAGCTCGTACAGTACACTCGCTGGATTGGGGAGACAAAAAAAGCATTTCAGACAATTTGAGAAGATATTAAACGCGGTTGGTGTCGACATTACACCTCAGTTGAGCTTCAGGTTGAGACCCTTTGCTCCCAAGGTGCTTCGCTGGCCCCGCGTGCGTCATCATGATGAGGGAAACCTCAGAAAAATGCAAAAATACCACTGACCTTGGATTGCGCGCTGTTCTGTAGGCCACGTAGTATGCAGGGGTCGAGGAGTGCCTCAAGTCTCTGGCCTAAAGTTTCCCCTCTTCTCCTTCATAGCAAGCACCTTCTGCCTATCCTCGTCGAACTTCTTCAGCAGCAGTGCTTGCTCGGCCTTCCGCCTCTCGCGCAGCTGGAATCGGTAGAAGTCCTTTGTCTCATCCTTCTTCTTGGCCGCACGGTCGACCATCTTCTGTCGTGCCGCCTCGGCCTCGTTCTTTGTCGCGGGAGTTGCGCGTCCGCCGCGCGTGACGGTGAACGAAAACCATCCTCATCTGGCTCATTCCGCAGTCTTCTTGGCTGTCTCAGCCGCCTCCTTCTCCTTGCGATTGAACACGTTGAAGAAGGCGTGCACCGACTTCTGCGTCGCCGCCTTGTCAGCCCTCGACAGCTGCAGGTGCGCCGCAACCCACGGTGCGCCCAGCTCGGGTGTGTCGCTGGCAACCCCCTCCCCCCAAACAGGCATCTTGTTCTTCTTCTTGGTCTTTCCAATGGCCTTCAGCACCTGGTCGACACTCTTTTCATCGGCCATCAGAACGATGGCGCTGCCGCCGCTCTTGTGTATCCTGCGCGTCCACGTCTCGGGCAGCAGTGCCAACTCCTCCTCGCGCGCGTGCTCCTCGAGCTCCTGTTCATCGCGCTTCCTCTTTTTGACGAGCGCAGATATCTTAGCGGCCGAGGCGGGATCGAGCTCGAGCCGCCTCCTGCGCTCGCCTTCAAAGGCGATGCTCTCGAAGCGGCCGGGGCCGACGAGGTGGCTGAAGACAGCGCGAAAGTGTGCTTCTGATGCATCTACTGGAATATTCTTCAGGAAGAGACTCCGGCCATCTACGGCAGTTGGGATCTTGGGCGTGTTTCGTCGAAGTCGAATTTCGTGGATGGCGGTAATGGGGCACGAGGGCACCGCCGGCATTTGGATTGGGAAGACGGTGAAGCCATCCTCTGTTTCTTCGGTCTCCATATTACTATATTTTCCCTGTTGGCTATCGTGCGTACGCAATGTGGTGTCGTTGACGGTCTTAGGTGTGACAGGAAGAGCGAGAAGCTGTGTCGCTGGATCAGTCGAGAATGGCTGAACTGGGCAATGGAACAAAAGGCAGCTCCAAAAAAATGAGGAAGTAAAAGATAAGGCTACTGGTGGGGTCAAAGTTCCCATGCCTTACCCCAGTCAACCACTAGCAATGTGTGGATAAGACCCAACTTGCTCCACTCCATGATGGCTTCACTCTGAGGTAAGGTACCTTACACCTCAACCACGATCCTCCCGATTCCACGGCTCACACAGCTCAGCATGGAACTTCCCTTTTGCTCCGTCGTCAATGCCGTGCCTCTGTGCTCGACTGTTCCATCCTTCAGATTGATTTTGCAAGTTCCGCAATTCCCCACTTCGCAGCTGCTCTCCACTTGGTCACCTCCAAACTCTCTCTTCAGGACCTCTAGAAGCGTTTCTTCCCGAGTCACATGTACGATCTTACCAGCTCGATTGGATACTTCCGCATCAAATGGGTCGCCTGTGGTGTCTGCTGAGAAAGCTTCGTAGTGAACCTCATTCTCATCCACGCCAAATTCTTGGACGGCTCTGCGACCAGACTCAATCATGCGAGTCGGACCACAGAAGTACAGCTGGCTGTTCCACTTGAGCGTTCGCACAATCTCGCGAATGTCCAGGTGTTGGCCTTTGGACTTGTCGTAGACTTTGACACTGGTGCCTAACTTTTCAATGCGCTGTCGAAAAGGCACATCAGCCGCCGAACGCACAGCGGAAATGCAGCTCAATGTTGTAATTGATGCTGTGGTATGCCTCCAGCGAAGCCAGAAACGCTGTAATACCGACTCCGCCAGCGACAAAGACGTGGTTGCTCGCCGCGTTAGCGTTGGGGAACGCCGTTTGTGAACCTGCCCACCTTGTACCACACCGTCCGGCCCGGGCATGACGGTGTGAAGCCACTTCGATCCGGCTTCGGGAGGGGTCCTCCCAATGCAAAACCTAGGTTCAAGGCACTGATAATTTCCCGAAAACGACGGAAAAAAGACCTTTCCAGGTCATGGGGGAGGGGGGAGTTTCACATGGGC